GTGTGTGTATGACTGCATGCCTGCAAACTCTGGCCCTCAGCTGGCTGTGTCGCTACATTCATTTCTCCAGCTTTATTCTTTGTTCACCAACAGCACTGAGCCCCACCACAATCTGCTGGTTGTTCTGCTCGATCTTTGTTCAGGTCGTCCAGGAGAAAGCTGCGGCATATTGTTTCGCAATTCAGCCGCTGCAAGGCCTTGCTAGAGACTCAGTACATCAGTCTGGCTTCATTATATAACTTCTATATTATTTTATATTATATTATATAACATAGTCACTGAACTTGCCATTATCAAATGGAAAATAGATGCGCAACCTTTTACCTTAACCTCTGAGGCACATGTGCTGCAGTTGCCATAGTGATCTATACGAACGGTTCTTTTCTAATAATCACGTCGTTATGAACACATTTAGCCGGGGCATAGGTATTGACAAGTTGGCACACCGTTTGTATGGTTGTGATTTCTGCAGCAGAATCCTCACACAGAATCCCAGTTTTCGCAAGCGCAATCCGAGACACTTTTATCCCCAACCCCACTTTGAGATTACATTAATGACACCCAGAAATAGGAGCGAGTGCGCCGCCGTGAGTCATCTGCTCACTGTCATTCCCTTCTCACTGCAGTTTGGATAGATGTCCTTCCTATAGCACAGTGATGTTTCTCTCATATTGGATCATCTGTCTGTATTCATACATTAGACAGGCTCAATGGGTCCGCAGGATTTGCAATTATTTCCCCTGTTTTCTGCCCAGTATGCATGCCAGTGTGTAGCTTAAAATGATTACTGCCAGGGCTGATAAATGCATTTGCTGCCTGGCAGCATTAAACATAACTCCTTCAGAAAGACGGCTCCACTAATATAATGCACCAATCAGACAGACAGCCAGACAACAGGAAAGTACAGACGGGCAGGCAAGGGGCTGCCAGGCTGTGTATTCATACAAGTTTAATGAGCATCCAGACAGTGGGGAGTTTGTGGCTCCGGCGCTGAGCTCACTCTGCACACAGAAGCTGACTGGCTGACTAGGTTAGACACACTAACGAACAGGTGGAGGACTGGCTGCTTGACCTGGGTTTTTGAAAATAGCCAAGTTTGAGCATAAAGTCCACATTTAATTAACATTTTAATTATTCGGAACAAAGTGCAAATTGTCATGCGGAAAGCTCTGACTGGCTGACTAGCAGCCCAAAACATTAGTTTGAGCACATTTCTTTCAGCTCCACAGCGGAGATGTTTACAGCCAAAAAAAAAATAAAAAATCATACCTCACAGACCAAAAAAAGAATTCTTCTCTCAAGGACACCAAGCAATTATTTTTTTTATCCGTGAGACTGGAGCCTATTGGTAATGTTATTATAAAGGCATTATACAAGTTAGTGAGATAAAAGTTTGAGGGACTGTTGAATAGAGTTCTACATTGCCATGGTTATTAATCTCACTCCTCTTTTCCATGATGGCATTCAGGGCTCCCAAGTAGGCAGCCAAGGCAGCAGGAGACCAGCCCTCCTCCCTCCTCCACTGAAAATGATAGAGTAGAGAGAGAGAGAGGAAGAGGCTGTCGGTGCCAGTGGATCCTCAGTGTTCCTCAGGATTTACCCAGGCTTTTCTCTTTGTTTGAGACAGTCAGCACACATGTTTAACTTGACTGCAACAACTCAAACTGCAGAGCTGTTTGTGTTTACATTGTGTAAGATGTTTTTTTTTTTCTTTCTTTTTTCTGAGTCAGCCACTGCTCAAAATCTGACTCGTTGTGAACATTTAATTTATTTTTTTGTATAAATAAATAACCCAGTCGGCACCTCGTTATTATGCAAACCAGCATCTGATGTCATCCGGTGACTGGAAGCAAATTTTTTGAGGAGCCGATGGCAGCTTTTATGAGCAACGCTGACTGATTAAGCTGTATAGCAGTTGCTATAACTTACCGATACATATGTTGCATAAATGGAATTGCTCATCTTCTCTCTGCTCTGTTTGTGTGGGCTCAACACAGCAGTAGGAGGTAAAAAAAAAAAAACATCTACAGCTGGGTGATTTCTCTCTTCCGTTGTGTGCTGCCTTAACTGCCTATCAGCGCATTGGATAAGTGTTCAGGCTGTGTCAGTGGTGAGGCAGCAGAAGTTCAGCAGGTCATGTGAAGTGGCACTTCAGCTGCAGCTGACAGATGCAGCTTCCACTCCGTTCTACCAGATGTTTGCTAGATTGCTGGTTTTTGGGCAAGGCCAGACTTAGAGGGACACTGGCGGTGCACTAATACGCTTGTACCGCCATGTTTACACTGTAGTGCTGTTGTCTCTGGTGTTAAAATCTATTCAGCATCTAAAAGCATGGTAATTGGAAAAAAACAAGAAGCCTGGAACCCCCAGTGTCCTCTCCTTGGTCCTCTCCTTGAAAAAGCTCAGGAAACCCTTTACAAATTGCACGACACTGCATCTTTTAGGAATATCATTTTCTAATTGATCAAAACACACAGCCTGGTATTTACTTCTGCAGAATTGTTCATTTTTCCTGAGGATATTTACTTTTTCTGCCTCTGGAAAAACACCAGACACGGTCCCACATGCAGCCGGGTGATGCCTGTACGTACAGCCTCTGTCAGTGACACGGATGTAGCAGCCACTTGACTACAGCTCTACGTCCACAGTTGCTATAGCGACACCATGGTAATGAGTCTGCATTCTAATGATGCCTCAGTGGGTTGTTTGAGGAGTTGAGATATCTCGGGACAATGAGTCGACTAGCGAATGACAGCGTTCAAGCCTTGAAGGGTACGCTGGCATTTGATTAATGTGTGGCTGTTGGAAAGTCCAAATTAAGTATGTGACACTCTTATGCGATTACAGACTACAGACCTAATATCCAGAGCTGACAGAAGACCCTAAAGCCATACAACTTACCATTGCCTCACCTTGCAGCATAACTCATTTGGTAGGATTACATGTCTTCTGTCTATATTTACTTATGAGCATCACATATTTAATGGTGTGTACATGAAATTGTAATTGGGAAGCAGACTTTGCCTCATCGTCTGTGCTTACTTGGTTTCATGGAACCTCATAATGTCCTGATAAAAGAGCCCCGCTGCTCCATCGACTCATTTGATTTTTTTTTTTTTTACTCCTGAATGTGAGGATGAAGCTTCTGCATGAGGCCTCCAGAATATCAATAGACTTTTTCAGTCAGATAAGCTTCTCTCTCTCCACTCATTACAGTGTTACCTTAGGAAAGTTTCTGCTGCTCCCCACTCTCCCTCCACTTTTTTTTTTATAGCTGCTGTTTCTTAATGAAGGTGTCATTTCAGCAGTAAAAGAAAAAAAAAACTCAAAGCAGCTCATGCCTTTTTAAGATATGTATCTGAAGCTGCTTTATCGCTGGCTTCTCACTTTATTCGCACTTGGCAGCACAATGTGATTTTATGATTAGTCAATATTTCTCAGGACAACTTGTCTTACCGACAGCAGCGGAACCTGTCAGCTGCATATATTTACATACCGGCTACGTTATCAAATGACAGCGAGGAAACTGTGATGTTGAAAGTTTCTACGCGACATAAGCAGACACCATCAGAGTGCTTTTTGGAGACTTTAAGTTAAAAACAAAAAAAATTTCATCTGGTCTTTGAAGCAAGTGGAATTCAGTTCTGATTGCCAAGACAAACTGTCATTATGTGAGTATTTCAGTTAGACATACTGATTGCCTGTTTCGAGTTGAGCTGATATGAATGGTGTCTCTGATCAGCAAATCACTGTTCATTCAAGTTGTATATACAGACAGGTGACAAATTAAAGGAAGAATCAGCAGAAAGTGTCTTGGTAAGGTGTTGGGTCACCAGAAAAGCTTTAGTGCCCATTTTGCATTTATTCTCCCGCTCTCTGGAACTCTACTGGAGCTGTGGATGTCTCTTTCAAAAGATATATTTTCTCATAACAGATCCACTGGATCCACTCACTATGTAGGTCACAGGTTCAGGTTTTCTTTTAATTTGTCACTCCTCAGTAGGTGTAACTATGCATTTGTGTGTTTTTTTGTTTTTTCATTACCACATGAGATGGAAAAATGCACAGCAGTGGCCATATAAATACACACAGTCAGGGATGATGCAAAAATACAGGAGCAGCTGAACATGGTCTGCAGCCAGTGTTTATCAGTTATCAAAAACCCAAAGAAATGCAGATTTCAGAAGCTGAAAGAAGTTTGTTTTAATTGTCTTTACTCACTGATTTGAACTTGTTGCTAGGATTGCCTTTACTCCAGCTTTGCCTGAAGTTGTGGGGTTTTGTCAGTGGGGAAAGGTTTCTCCTTGTTCAGTCTTCACACTTCTCCAACCTTCTGTCAGCATTAATCAACAAAAGCTCATTAGGCAGAGCGTTGCTGCTTCAGTCCTCCAGTGTTCAGTGATTTTTGCTCTTCAGGTCACTGCCTTTAGCTTCTGATGGGTTGCTGCCTACACAGCAGGTACACTTTCTTTCCATTTTCCAACTCTTCTCAGAACCAGCATTGTAATAGTCTGTCTTTCTGTCAGCCACCTTGTTCTTTTGAAGCCATCTTTGCTCACTCTGCCTCTTTTGGGTGGTGGCTTGCTGCAGATCCATGGGACACCGTTTGGATTAAATAACTCAGCATGTTGCATTTCTTGACACACCTAAACCTGCTTTTTTGTGCTTGCTGTAACACTCAATTAGAGACACTTAAATAGAGTGTCTATGTTTTTTTTCCTATATTCGTGTTTTGCCATATCAATAGGACTGGAGTTAGGAAATGGACGAAGGATCATAGCTTTACGTTGGATTTTTGTACAGTCATTGCATTTGTTATGCACACTTGTTTACTTTTTGTTGGCTTTATTTCACTGACTTGTATCAAGTCATCATGTCATTTGGAAATAAAGGAGAGGAACAAAAAGACCTTAAACACAAGCAGGCCTCAATGAAAATATATTTCTAATGTTCATAATTAGTGTTCTTACTTTGGCTCTTTTCTTCTTTCTCTTATCCAGGTACCTTCCTGTCATGCAGTTCCAGGAGGTTGGCCAACACTGGAGCTGACACTGTCAGCGAGCCCAGCCTACACTACAACAGCTCCATCTCCTCCAGACCTTCACCTCCTACTGCCCTCTTCTCTCTCCAGCCACTAATTTTACCCCAGGGGAGGATTATTCTTTAGCGCCCTTGGCTGCCGAGTCCAATCCCAGAAACTGTCCTGTGCTTGCTACCTCTCCCAGCATAAGAAGAGCCCGTATCTGCATTCTGCTACGAGCCAGTCCTCCTGGCTGTGCTTCAGCACCTTAGACCGTCTGTAGTCCTGCATCCTGGGATCTTCTGCCCTAACCGCCTTTGCAGGATCCGTGGCCAAGCACAACGTGAGGGCAGCTGTCCACCAGGAAGAATCCGGGATCTACAACCATCATGTCGAGTCGACGTAAAGCCTCCACGCCCTGTATGATCCGACCAGACCAGACCATGGTGGAGCTGGATGATGAGGCAGAGGAGTCAAACAGCATGGAGGTACGCTCTCGTGTGGCTTTCCCATAACTGGTTAAACAAAAGAATAGCGTGCTTGTTGCAATGGACTGGATTAAATCATGAAAATATATTTGAATAATTTGTGAGAGGGAGAATTGATCATAGATTTTTAATGCACAATTAAACATTTATGATTTTTGTAATTGTGCACCTAAATTTGTCATTTTAATTATCCTCATTCTTTCCTTCTCTTGAATAAATTAGAAAACTTTACTTTTTAGTTTTGTGAGTAGTTCAGTAAATGTGTACTAATTTCTGAATTCATAAATACTGAGATGATACAATAAGTAGATTGCTGTGTACAGATTTTAAAAACACTCTCTCTTGTGATAATGTACCTTCTTCTGCCAGACGACAACAGAGAACCATACTCAGGGGGCACCTATGGATACAGATCTTTCAACACAAGCAGAGCCATCAGCGGGCTCAGATGTATTGGGAAAGGCCTCGGACCCTCCCACAGCTCCTGACAAACCAGCGGCGGAGCCACCAGACATTTCAAAGCCTCAGCGTAGACAGCAGGGGGGCTACGAGTGCAAATACTGCCCCTTCTCCACGCAGAACCTCAACACCTTCAAAGAGCACGTAGACGCCAACCACCCCAACGTCATTCTCAACCCGCTGTACCTGTGCGCCGTCTGCAACTTCAACACGAAGAAGTTCGACACCCTGACAGAACACAACGAGCGGTGTCACCCCGGGGAGAGCAACTTTAAATTCAAACGCATCAAAATGAACAATCAGACAATCCTCGAACAGACAATAGAGGGCTGCAGCAACAATGCAGTCATTTACAACACTTCTGGTGCCATTTCTGGCAAAGGGGATGAACTAGGCACTTTGCCGCTCAGCAAACCCACCACAGTCAAGATCGGTAAACCAAAAATAATGTCGTCGGATAACAAACGGACAGAGTCTCAGTTGGTTAAACTGACCCCAGATCTCACCAAGAAACCGGTCACGGCGCTCAACGTGAACGGGACGGTCATCATACCGGAGTCGACTCTACTCAAAGCAGATGGCCTTTCTCACATCATGCCTTCCCTACAGCGGCCTCTAAACTATACCCAGGTAGGACGAAATGGAAGAATTCTTTTACAGTTCCAATGAACTTAAAGGATTATTTATTTACTGTTTTTTCAAGAGTTAGGTAAGTTATTCAGTGCCACTCTCATATCATATATAAAGTGACAGAAAGTGGGGGTTAGCTTAGCTTAGCTGGAAATAGCAAGTCTGGCTGTGTTCAGGGTCTAAAAAAAAAGTCACTTTTAAACCTCACTAATTAACATGTGGTATTTGTTTCTGCTTATTTCTGTTTTTATACAGATTACACAACATGTGAAATGCTCATGAATATATTTTAAAGGTGCCAATAGCCATACTAGCAGTTTCCTCCTACTAGCAGTCTTTTTGCTAACTAAGCTAACTGGATTTAGCTACGTATTCCATGTACTGATCGGAGACTAGCCTTGATCCTCTCCTCCAACTGGTGGCTGGCATCAAAGAAGAGGATTTCCCAACATCTCCTACTGTTCCTTTCAATTCTGTCTTTGCATTAAAAGTTTGGATTTATAAGTGTAAAAAAACTGGCAGCTGTACAGAAAAGTATTTTAATGGTTTGTTACTAATGCGTTGTTTTATGGGTTTGGAATTTCCAAGGAAGTTCCTTAGAAAGTGATTAAGTGATAATTATGAGGATAAGAGAGACGATGTTCATCTGGTGACTTTAATTAATTAATTTCAGTTAATTGCCCGTCTGACTGAGAGTGTCAGTGCACAGCAGGTCAGCAAATCTGGCTAAAATACTGCATTTGTCTACAATCTAGGCATACAGTTATATTATTAATGTATAGATAATAAAACTTCCTTTAACAAAATTGATTATGTGTGAATGCAGAAATTGTGTGTGTGTGTGTGTGGGGGGGGTGTTGTTGTTGTTGTTGTTGTTGTTTCTTTCAATTTAACCAAATTTCATAGTTCTGCTCAGGAAATTATTAGGAAATTATAGACCTGTAAAATAAAGTGTTACCATTTGGGTTTCTGTTTGTAGTATCCACTCAGATGATTATCAAGCTTTTTTTGTGACGGCAATAATTGAAAACAGTACCTTCCAATTATTCTTATTAGGGATGACAAAAACAAACAAAAACATTCAATTGCCATTGCTGACTTGTTTTATTCCAGGTGCCGAAGATCGCAGTGCCCCTCAACACAACCAAATACAACCCCTCCCTGGACGACAACCTGACACTCATCTCCTCCTTCAACAAGTTCCCCTACCCAACACAGGCCGAGCTGTCCTGGCTCACCGCCGCCTCAAAACATCCAGAGGAGCAAATCAAAGTCTGGTTCACCACACAGAGGCTCAAACAGGGCATCAGCTGGTCGCCTGAGGAGGTACGATCATACTAGTTAATATCTGAGGCACGTGACATCAAAACAAATCATGAGAGAAATATTCTTGATCAATTTGGACTCCAAATGGAGAGAAAAATGACCCTGAGCTATTGTTCTTTTGTAATAATCACTGATCACTGGACTTTTGTTTTTGATTTTGATGATTTGAGTTCACACTTCTTAAATTATACATAATTATTACAATTTTACTTTACCTGACAAAACTAGCTTTTTAACAATCTGTCAATTATTGCATATAAAATGAAATGAAAGTTTAATTACAGAGTGTGGAATGATTTTTAATAAAAAGTTCCACTGGTAATTCAAACAAAACCTGTCACTATTTATTTAAACATGAAATTTCACCAGCATAGGGCACAGTTTTTAAACATAAGTGCACAACAAGTAAGTAACATGTATAACAAGTCTGTTCCTTCTATGACAGGTGGAAGAAGCCAGGAAGAAAATGTTCAATGGTACAATCTCCTCCGTGCCTCAGACTTTCACCGTGGTTGCACCTCAGCTCAACTCATCGACCAACCAGTCTGCCCCCTTGTCATCGTCCAAACCCATGCAGCCGGCAGCCTCTGTCCTCCAGTCCCTCCCCTGTCAGCTGTTGGGGCAGACCAGCCTCGTGCTGACTCCTGTAGCCAACGGATCTACTGTCACTTGTGCACCGCTGGCACTCACGGTGGCAAACCAGGTACAAAACCATGGACAGAGAGTAATTCTTGCAGCCTCAGAAACCAAAAAAAAAATATATGCTTGTTTTACTTTGGCTTATTATTAGAGCGGGTGACATTTTGCTCCATGATTCCCGCAGGTGGCACAGTCGCTCAAACGACCTTTGGCCTCTCCTGTGATCGCCACAGAGAGCAAGCGACCCTCTATCATCCAGACCATCTCTGCGCCCATGGCCACTTCCAAGCTGGCATCACCCAAAGTGCTGAGTTTCACAGTTGACCCCAATAAAACAGCAGAGCAGCTGTCAGTGCTAAGGTCCAGCTACACACAGTGTCCCTTCCCTGAGGAAGATGAGGTAAGAATAAGTGAGTGAAATGCTGCTTTTTTTTTTTTTTTTTTCCCCCTCCCCAATAGTTCAGCATGGAAAGATTTTTGTCACTGCTTTTACTTTGTAATTTCGTCTTGCTACTTTTTTTTTTCTTCTTCTTCAAACACACAGCTGTCNTTTTTTTTTTCTTCTTCTTCAAACACACAGCTGTCACTGACAAACACCTGCAGTTATTGTTTCGTTTCAAGTCGTATCTTGTCATGTGATAGATCTACAGACTGATAGAAAACACTGGGCTTTCCAGAGGAGAGATTAAGAAGTGGTTCAGTGAACAGAGACTCCTCAATCTCAAAGGTATGTCGTCTGATCGGTGCTGAAACAAAATATCCCAACGAGCTATTTTAAGTTCTTTGAGCTGGATTTCAAATGCTAAACCATCAAAAATAAAAAATAAAAACATTGCTTCCCCAGAAAACAAATCGCGGTGAACCATAGTCACTAGTGTTCATGATTGTGAAGCACCGTGTTCGTGCTGCATTATTTAGTTATATCAGCTCTCAAGCATATTATGGTCCTTTAGTCTCTCTTGTTCTGTCTCTCTTGGAGGTGTTCCTCCACCACCTGTGCTGGTGAAAGCAGAGGTGACACCACCACCACCACCACCACCTAAAGATGGCCCTGTAAAGAAAGCAGTCCCCAACCAGTTCCCGCTGCTGGAGAGAGTGAAGGGGAAATCGTCAGAGCAGCTGAAGGCGCTGGAGGAGAGTTTCCAGAGAAGCAGCTCTCCAACGGAGACAGCACTAGGTACATGAACATACTCTCATAACTCATGTCTTTGGGATGGAAACTGTTAGATTCTTCTATAAGTCAGAAGATTAGCGAGAACGATAAAAGAGGTGGGAAAGAATCTAGTCTGGCTGCACTTTATCATTCTGCTGTAGAGGGGAAAAGGTCTCTCTGGCTTGTTTTGAATTTCTTTAAACCCTTGCACAAATGTCTGGGCCGGTGCTAAGCCAATGATGCAGCAATAGATTGTTCTGGTGGAACATTTGCAGTTAAAATGGCAATTCGCCAAACAAATATAAACAGGGCCACCTTCTTGCACGATCCAAGCATTTAGCAAATTCTTCGTGTGTAGGTTGCTAGCTCAGAGGTTGTTGTTCCCCATAGCGAAGGGTTTTTTTTTAAAGTGTTATTTCACTTTCATGGTAGTTTCCAGCCCTGGTCCTAAACACGGTTGCTTGATGTGGGCACATCTCATTTGTCTTTGCCTACAGAAACACAAGACAAGCCTCCTGTAGATTAAGAGATAATGATGCAGAAACAGGGCTTCGTAGACATAATTCTATTTACAATCAGATAATGATGTGAAGTTCTTGAGAAAAATGATTACATGACTTTTAAACTATTAAAAAAGGGAAGGGGGATAAATAGGATGAGAACAAGTTGGACAAATTAGTAGTTTTCTGTGTTCTTGCCAAGTTCAGTATCTTCACTGTATAACTTAGATGCCTAAATTGCTTCAAGAAATCCAGTAGTGTTTTCTTCTATTTATACAAGTTCACAGCTTGCGACTTAATTTTCTTTCACCCCAGAGGAGCTGCAGGCCTGTCTCTGGTGGGTGCCTGCATGACAGGAATAGCAGGAATGTTTTTAATGAGCCCATTTTTAAGTCCCCCGGAGAGAGACTGAAATCCCAGGTTTCTAAAAAGCCTTCAACATCGAGGTAGCACAGCTCATCTGATCCTCTGAACTCTGCTCTGCTGCAGACCAGCTGGCCCAGGAGACCAGGCTGTCCAAGACGGAGGTGGACTGCTGGTTTTCAGAGCGCCGCGCACTGAGAGACAACATGGAGAAAGCTTTGCTCACCATGGCCTCGAAGAACTCGGAGGACAGAGCAGAGCGGCCAGGAGCGCTGCTGAACGGAGCCTCCCACCGAGAGCAGGACGGGAAATCTCTGCACTCCTCCCCCCACCCGCCCGTCCTCTCCTCCTCCTCCTCCTCGTCCTCCCCTCCCGTGCTCGCAGCTTCCTCCCCTCGTCCACCGACCCACTCCTCCTCCGCATCTCCCCCCATCCTCACTACGTCCTGCTCCTCCTCCCCCCATCCTCCCATCCTGTCGGCCTCGGCGAGCCCGGCTCCCATCAGCAGCCGCTCACTCACACTGCTCAGGGAGGTAAGAAGAGGTGATAAAAACATACCACCATTAACTCTAATTAGGTGACAGTGTATTAGAATGTGCTACGAGGTAGAACTTGAATGTAAGCTGCGGTGAAATATATCGAACTAATTTCGGGAGCTGGTGTGGGGATATAAACGAGTTGCGACTTAGTTAGTCGATGAGATCTTTTTACTATTATCTGAAGTGAAATGTGGTGGAAAATGCAGTGATTCATCTTGAAAAGGTGTTGTACAGGAAAATCTGTGTGACTGATGTGCATTTTTAGACTGGCTGATGCCTACCGTCACCCACTGATACAGGAGTTGTCTAGAACACAGCTGAAGCCCACAGATTTAGAAAGCCTTTAAATGCAACATACATCTGTGAGATTTAACAGCTCTCCTCATCCTAATAGGCTTCATGTAGACGCATGCTGCCTCTGAATGTTGACCCACGTGTTTCAACAAATGATAGATCAAACAATATTCAATGTATTCATCACATCACACAACCCTATATAAAGATAAATGTGTACAATTTTAAATATAACTGAACCGTTCAGGGACAGTCGACTACAGCTGCTTCTATTTTAGGAACTGTGTGTCAGCATTGACACACTGCAGCGTATCTGTTGTGTAAATCTGTAATAGGTAGCGAGACATACCGTAAATCATTTTAAACAAGAGCCGTGCAGCCGCTCTGTCAGGCTGAATGATCACAGCAGGGCTTTTATGCCACTCAAATAAAATGATGGATGTATAATTGGCAAACTGTGCCTATAGTAGTAAAGTATAGTATTAATATTACTAAAGCAACAATGTAGGTCGAGTTTATGTAGAATTGTGCTGTTGTTGTTAGTCGAGGTGGATCGAGCTTCAGCTGCTTATTTTCCTGTTTTCTGTTTTGCTCATCATATGTTTTGTATGTAAAATCTTAGCCTGCAAAGTAACTTGCAAATTGCTGAACTCTGAAGTAAGTGCTTTGAAGTTGAGGCCCAGTAAAGCATCTGTTTTTGCTGTGCAACATTGAACTAACTTGTATATTTATTGTGTAAAACGTTTTGCATTTGTTCACACAATCTTGTCTCGACAGATGTTCTGTCGGACTCAGTGGCCATCTCCTGAGGAATACAGCCAGCTGGAGGTCCAAACAAGCCTGGGACGCACCGACATTGTCCGCTGGTTCAAGGACCACCGCTCGGCGCTGAAGAACGGGGAAACTCTAGACTGGATGGAAGGTTTCCAAAATCAAAACATTGCCGAGCAGCAGAAAGCAGGCCAGGAACAGAACGGCCAGAGTTCTGAGAAAAACCAGAGCGCTTCCTTGGAAGTCAAGGCTTTGAAAGGTGAGTTTTGGAGAAAATGATGTGTTCTTTCTTGCTTTTCTTTTCTTTCTTTCTTTTTTTTTTCAAATCATTTAATTTTGCTTTTTTTTCTTAACCCTACAACCCTGTGTGCAGTGGAGGAGGCTGGTGAGAAGGTAGCAGCTACAGAGCAATCCAAACAGTCTGAGCAAGACAAAGTCCAGTGGTTGGCTGACAGGCTCTCCCACCGTGTGACGGACCTGAGCCGGACCAAGCAGGAGCAGACCAGCCCTAATAGTGCTGACAAAGGGAGGTGGGTGGAGAGAAGGAGAGGGAAACAAATCCGTTATCTTCTGGTGTTAGTCATGTTATACAGACAGGGGAAAAAAAGCAAGCTCACTGCCAATATTTGAGTATTTAAGGAATATCTGGGGAGTTATTTTAAGATAAAATAGGATCTAAAAATACAGCAGCATATGGACACAGCAAGCTGTTGATGCTGAATTACTCCCTTCTGCGCACTAGCAACTACTCGATTTTCATGTAGGGTTTATCTCTTCCCCCACCCCACCCCCAGAATTTCAGTGAAAAGCAGTAAATAATCTTTTCTTTACTCTTTTGTTTTGTGTCCAGTTCTTAGAAGCAGTCTGTTAGTGTTAAAACTTCTGTTCTGTTGCCAGGTGGGTAAAGGTGACTGTGGCGGTGGGGGAGGAGAGCGAAGGAGGAGTGGAAAGACCGAGGCTGGCAACGGACACTGACGTCCTGACCTTGGAGCAACCGGGGAGGGTCACTGGTTGATGGTAGGTTGTGCTGGAGAAATTCTTTGTTCGTAACACCGATGAGAATAACCAAGGTTAAATCTGCACTTCCATTGTTTGTGTTTCCTGTTTACAAATGGAGCAGCAATAACATTAAATTGCAGAATTAGGTGACAATTAATGCATTTGCCTCTACAAGCAACACCTTTCACAATAAACAAAGACATTCAATGTGTTGTAAATATAAAAATATCTGTCAGTGCAGCTTTAAAGTCTGCTATGAAGGTTTTATTACATCTACGACATCCACCAAAGGCTTTGTTGTAGGTCAAACAAGACAAGCTACACATACAGTCGTCCTCCAATGTATTCATACCCCTCCCACTAAAGAAGGAAAAACAAAGCTGTCACTGAAATAAGTTGAAATATAATGAAGTAATAATAAATAAAAATGTAATGAAAATCATGACATTGCACAAGCCTGATGGGACCCGTAAACTAATATTTTGAATATTTTGTTGACCAACCCTTTGAGCCAATCACTGCAATCAAGTATTTTCTGTAACTCTCAATCAGACTTCTGCACCTGTTGACAGGTATTCTGATTTTGGCCCACTGCTCATCAGCAAAGAGCTCTAATTTGTCTGGGACAGTTTTGTTTTTTTAATTATTCTTTTCAACCACTATTCAAAAGCAATGTCCTGTTTCACATTTTTTTAATTATTATTTTATTCAGTTTCTAGTTATCTGAGTGACTATTGTGAATTGTGCCTTTTCTTTAATTTAAGGGTATGAATAAATTTGAGGATGACTGTAGCTGCCGCTGTTGTAAGCTGTGAAATTTCCCCTTCCTTTCCCCCCACTGCATGCTGGGATATGCTTCAGCTCTCTGTGACTCGTACCGGGAATAATTAGCTGCAGAGAGTAAATGGATTTTAAAAAGCTTTACTTTGAGACTTGGCTTAAATAAATGGTGAACTGTTCCTTTAAGATGCCACAGCTGCAGCCTCCAGCTACCCAGGAAGTTATTAGCGTGTAATTACCTCCGATTGGTCCTTCTCAAAGACGAGCGTACACCATCATTACCATCGCATGTGTAGACACACGCACACAGGCTCAGGCACAGTTGTGGTCACAAGATGGAAAAACAAAGGTGCAAATGATGATGCAGTTCTAGTTGTTTTATACAATGATTTGCACTTTTGAAGCTCGTTCGTTGTTTGCACTGAATGACCCTAGCAATAATCATTTTAAAATTTTAAGTATTAAGCATTCTGAATTATAACCTGGAAACACATTTAATGTTAATCCCTTAAATATAGGAGGGAACCATGTCATTTTACGAGCAAAACTTGTAAATAATAATTTGTCTAGTGAGTTAATTTCAGCCCATGCTCCTGTCTGATTCTGTTCCAGGTAGAGTAAATCATTGACTGCTGAGTCATTGGCCACCATGAGACGACTCAAGATGACCAAACGTGGAACCGGTGATGTCTGCCTGTGATGTCATCACAAAGCGACAGAGACTTTGGAGTTCCACTGTTGAAGCGCTGATGCGAGGCGCAGACGCCGACATTAAGAGGAGTGCCAAAGCTGGACTTGATGCATTGTTCTTACTACTACGCTTTTTTTCTTTTCTTTTTTTAAAAAAAAGAAATACCCCTTGTAAATATTTTTCTGTATTACAAAAAAAAAGTTTGTACAGTTTTACTGGGAGGGCAAGTTTTGTTACATTTTTAAAAAAAAGTCTGACTGACTGTTGCCCCCAAAACCTGGAATGTTTTTCGTTGTTGTTGTTTTAAGAACAAAGTGTATTATAGTCTGTTATTTGATGAAAATCAGTCCTATTTTTTTGAAAATCATACATGCGCACTGCTCGTTTATGAGTAGACTTTGATGGCACTTGCTTATATCCCCGTGGTAGTCGTAGATATCCTCATTACTAGACCGCTTCATCGCAAACTGTAACTTTTCCTGCAGCGTCACCTTAACTTGCCCTCGTTAAAGTTACAACGGTGACAGTGGAGATCACTCTGAAGTGCTAGAGGGGCAAGTAGAAGGGGCAATCTGAACACACAGCTCACTGCTGAGAGACCAGAGAATGAACACAAACAGCCATATGGTCAGACCGAGGCTAACAGCGTTTGGACGGATGAATGAACACACTGTACATCCTCAATGCCAGTGTCTTTTCTCGTGAGCTGGTTCTTGCATCAGTACCTGAGGCTGAAACAGTACAGAATGTTCGCTTTCCTGATATAGCAATTATTAATTACAAAGAGCAGAAAGTGGAGTGTCTGTTCGATCACACCATGCTGCCTTTTCAGCGCCTATCTGACATTTCCTGTTTGCCTCAGAGGTGGGTGGAGTACATATTGGTTGATGACTTAAGCTTATCAATTGTTTTTAAAAAAAGAAAGGAAAAAAAAAAAACTTGAACTATTCATGACTGAACCTGCCAAGAGGATACTGGTGAAAATGTTTCACGCATGATAAAATAATCAAAGCTCCTTTATTTGAGCCATTTCAGATATCCATTTTGCTCAGCTGTGATCTGTGAACACACCTCGTCTTTTCTCTCGGCTTTAGGTAAGTTCTTCTGTTCCAAGCAGGGACAGTTGATTTCTGTACAGGCAGTTCAGGACAACCAAAATGGGGGTTCATGAATGTTAAAGATGCAGAGAAGAAAAAAAAAAAGACCAAACAATGCTGATTTTCTGAAAAACAGCAAAAAGAAGAAAAAGAAAAAAAGAGCATTTGGAATGTTAAAACAGCCAAAGCTGTCATGAACTGCTTGCATTTCAACAACTTTTTAACTCATTTTCAAACATGATTTAAAACAATAGCTGTGATTACTGGATCAAATTACAAGTCCATGCAGTATTTGTGCAGGCCAAGAAAGTTAAGTTAGCCATTTAACCCTGGTTTGAACAGCAGGTGTATTTGCTGTTTTTGCTGGCTGAATGTCCGTTGCTGCTGCTGCTGCTGCTACTGCTGCTGCTGCTTTAGTTTCATGTTCAGACAAGTATCTGGGATACTGTACGTTTGGTTGGCTGGAACGGAATACCGCTTGCATTTTCATTTTCTACTTTTAAGTCTGCTGTAACTCAATAAAAACACAACCAACTGCAAAACGTCCCCTCGATCTTTCAGTGTGTATGACATCTTTTAAAATTAGAAACGTAAGCTTGAATATGAACAAGGTACAAGATGGATAATTGAGATTCATAATTTACTGAAGTGCAAAGACTAGATTAGATGGGTTTGTCGACACAAAGGTGACATTGCACACTTTTTAGCTAACGTCACTTGTCAATTTTTTTTTTTTTTGCTTCACCTGGAGGTTTGTTTTACTGTGTGGATGGATGTAAATGCAGAGTTTGATGCTAGTTTGACATTTATGATACAAAACTTAAATTTTAAGACGTGCACACATGAATCGTAACGTTAAAACTTTAACTGTTGTTCAGTGAAGGAGATGTCTTGTGTCCAGAAAAGATTATGCAAAGCTGAATATTTTCCTCTCAACCTCCTGACTAGAGGGGCTCCTTAACCTTTTAATAAATATTGGTTTTCTTATTTCTGGAGAAAAAAAAAGCAAAACACATTTAAATAACCCCCTTCAAACCTCTTGCATTAATGGGCTACAGAGGTCCAAAGTCCACAGCAATTACAAAAAAAAATGAAAACTTAATTTGTCCTTCAAGCCTTGCTGACAGCGCTGTCATTTTGAGCTTGAACAAGACAATTTCCACTGCTTCATTTCTCACATCTTTTCTGCTAGTGTATTGTGAACACTGTCACATATGTATCACAAACCCATAGTTTAAATGTCACTGTGAAATGACCAGCTTTGGGTTTGGTTCTCTTGTTGGACCAAACAAAACAATTTTCACTGTTTTCTGAAGCAAGTGATTACTCCCAAAATAATTGGTAGATTAATTAATAATGAAAGTAATGGTTTGTGTATGTTCTAACTGTATATTGTCCAGACACCAATCAGTCACAACATTAAAACCACAGATGGCTAAAGTGAATAACACAGGGTAGATCTTGGGTCCTGACATTCATATAGACATTACTTGGACATGTAACTAAGCACTGCTGCAGGTCGCTCAAGGCAGAAACACCTTCTATTGCACAATGTACTTTATCTCACTGCAAAAACTGCTCAGAAACAACTCAAGGAACACAACCAAGAGCCAAAAGTGATGACTTATCGTCCAAACGTAGACACCACAGGAAAGAAATCCCAGGTTCCATTTCCCTCACAGTGATATACACAGTACTAGGCAGGTGGTTTTAATGCTGAGGCTGATCGGTTTATATCAAAGATATTGTCAGTGATTCACAACCAGCCACAGGCACATGACTGGCTGAAGGCTACTTTCTCTCTCGACGGAGAAATTTTTTATCTCTGCATCGGCACATTAAGGAAACACAGATAATAAGATAATTACACACTCAGAGTCGCTCATCGTTTCAATAAACAATTGTTATATTTACAAAAAAAGATCAACATCCCATCTTTACCTCATTTTGGTTAAGATCAGATCTCTTGACAGAAAAAGATTCAGGTCTGCACCACCGAGGCTCAATAACATTTCACACCCATGTAAATTCAGACCTGGAAACAGTGCTCTCTAAATAGCTTTGCCCATGTTCTGCTGAGGGATGGCTGAGAGCACGCTCCCAGTGCGTGGGTAATTACAATGTAATCTGATATGGCATCACAGAGAGGGAGAGAGAGGGAGGAACACAAGATTCAAAACCGACAGCGTGCTGGTGTGCAGCTGCAACATCTCTCATCCTGTCAGTCCGATGGCAGTCTGGAGAAAAAAAGGTGGAGCAGGGCGGAAAAGAAAAAGAAAATGGGAGCTCAAGGGTCATTGCAAGGGAGGGGGGAGGGGGGTGGGAGAGAACTATTTTCTATCAGCTTCACTTGGACACATCTGCAGTAGTAATAGTAGCACTTTACTTTGTGAACTGAGCCTACAGCCAGAGTCCTGCTGTGTGGTGCAGTCAAGCTTAAAATGCACGCTTCCTCAAATTTCATCCTGCTGAATCTTTTAAAACTAAACGTAAAATAAATTGGAAGTCGAGCTTTCGGTTCCGTCAAGCCGGAGAAAACGCGAGGAAGCGAGCATTTTAACCTGAAACGCAAACTGCACAGTCGTTTGATACTGGGAGCTATCGGGGTGGAGTTCTGCCTCATTCACCCCCCAGACGGAAGCCTTGACCCCAGTTGTGGCGTCCTCCTAATCCTCCTCCTCCTCCCCCTCCTGCTGCTGGTTCCTGGGCAGCCGGCCTTCTGCTGGGAGGAACTCCGAAGCCTGACACCCCTCCTCTCCTGCTGGGGAAGAACCGGTACCTGGAGAGAGAGAGATGGCAAGATGGGATCTTACAGGTGATCAGCAACAAATCCACTTTGAGGTGCAGAACACTCTATTTTTAGAATTAAGGGACGTGAAATCTGGCAACATGGCAGCACACTTACCCCGAGCTTTAAAACAAATCCGTCACACAAATAAACATGTTAACTTTGTTTTTTAGGCCACATTAATGTCCTCTGGGCATATCTGTTAATTCGTTGAGGCAAACAAAATACTTGATTGCAGGTTTAGGCCCACAAAGTACAGATAATTCAAGCTGACCTGAGAGCTTGGATAATAATCTTCACTAAAATTGTCGTTTTTGTCATCCAAATGAGTGGTGTAGACTACAGACAAGATCTAAATATGTTTAAATCTCTCCTAGCCATAGATTTAACCCCTAAATTGTGTGTTTTAGAAGTGTGTGTCACATGAAAATAGTCCCTTCCTGCTTTAAAATGGCTTTAAGATGTCACTCTATGATGTTGCTTCATCTAGAATGTGCAGATCTATGTAGTCCTTGCCTTTATGGCTTCTCAGTCCTACCGCTGCATCTGTTCAAACACTCCACCCTACACGATGGTATGTTGTAATACGAAAGCAACCAATTAACGTATTTGAAACCAAATCTGATGAAGAATAATGATATCAAAAGCCCCATATTGCAAGTTGACAGGATCTGTGTCTTAGGTTTGTTACATATGAAACCCTGAAAATCTGAATTTGTGTGTTTTTTTAAAACTGTACACTGCAGTCTTATGGACATGCTAGCAAGGTTTAAAAAAAAAAAAAAAGGATTTTTAGCAGAAGAGGCCTTCAAATGTATTTATCCTGTCCTATTTAAAAGTCTGCTGATATACTGAGTAAGACATTAATTTATCCAAACATTAGCTACAATAGCCAGAATGAGCACCTGCACACTCTTAAATGAGTGAGGCTGTAAAAACAAATCCACAGAGTGTATAAACAAATATGAGTGTTTTATTGCTTCTGAATTCAAAATGTGTTATCTTCTGTGTGTTCACTTCTTTTACATAGACTTGCTTTAAAGCTGCATACCCTCCTCAGTATCTCAAAATCTCAGCTGGAAAACATATGCTAACGATCTAAACATGTTAATTAAGTATCAACAATCTTCTTCCAGCATGGAGACTCCACCTTTAAAGCAGTCTGCCTCTAAAATTATACTTCCTTGCATGAAAGAAAACAACATAGTGTGACATTTCAAGGTTAAAATGTGCTTTAAAAAAAAAAAAAAAAAGAGTGCATTAAGAAAAACTTACAAGAACTCTGGTGTGGAGAGGAAGGAGCGTCCTCCCAGGTCTATGGGGTATTTGAACATGAGGAAGAAGTAGAGGTGGCCCACCAGGTTTCCTGTCAGTTCATCCACAAATCTGTACAATAACAAAGAGAGAAGGACTAGCCAAACCGCACAGGAGCGTTGTTACGTTGTGTTTTACCGTGATTTAAATTTGTACTTACGACCCTCCGATGATAAAGTTGAAGGCCAGGATAACCCAAGGTAGATAATGTGCCTGGGACAAAGAAACAGAAAATATTAGAAACAGTGTTAATATGAATACGTCTATGTAATATGACATACCTTGAACTAGACTGTTTGCCAGATAAAAATCTACTATTTTAAGGGGATTACCTTGAATCGTGTTCCGAACCAGAAGGACACAATCATGTCTTTGTTGAACTGAGCCCAGACATACAACACTGACATAATCAGCGGGATCATCAGAAGCTGAAAAGTTAACAACATAAACAACAACATAAACTGTAAGTCCAACTAATCAGCATCAACAAGTCAGAAGTGTCTTTATAGTAATTTTTTTTTACCCTGAGGTTTATTTAAAGGTCCCATATTGTGCCCTTCGTTAGCAAATGAATCAAATTACTACACGTCCTTAGGATGCATCTAGCAGTTTTTACCACAAAATACCACAAAAACAATTCATTTCAACTGTATAACCTCTGGTTTTAGCCCTGTTCTAAGCAGGCTGTGTCAGTCCACAGATGCTGGGAGTGCATGAAGACTCTTGAGTTCACTCTTGCAGCCAAGAATAGAACATTTGATGTGCTTTGCTTATGGCTGAGACATTTTACAGTTAACAGAAGCAGCTCTAGCATGTAAATAAACCAGACTCCGAGGCAGCTGCTCATTCAAACTGGCTCATCTCAGAGGAAGGAAGCAGGATTATGCAAATATTTAGCTCAACATCTATTTGTTACCCAGTGTCTACATAGAAATTGGACAAAAATTGTACTGCTGAGAGTGGAATAAGCATGTTCCCATTTTTACAGCTTTTATTTTGCATCTCTAAGTTTATAAAACACGCAAAATACAACACAAGATGGATTTTCACAATATGGGACCTTTAAGGGGTTTTTTGTTCAAGGACAATATCCTATAACAACTCAGCAGTGTTTCTTCAGGTGGAAAAAAACAGATGGCTCTATTCAAAAATCATAAAATCCACTTAACCAGCATATCTCGAGGTCACTAGTTGACATATTGTTTCTTTTTCTTTAATCTGTACAAAATCTTCACTATTTTATGGTTAGAACCAGAAAGAAATATTTTGAATAACTCATGTAAAATAGTGAGCGTTAGAGGTTCTGGTGGTAACTTCATACTCTGAAAAAAAGAAAATAAGTGCCTTCTCCAAAAAAAATCATCCTTCTCCTTTAAGTAAAGCTGGATTAAGTGAGTATCTTGCGTCATGACACATTGCTCAGATTTCAAGTGACTATTG